TTGCGTAAGGTCGCGCGTAGGCGCCCGCGGTTCCAACGTGGCGTGCCGCGCTGGCGGCCCGCACCGGCCGCCGCGTAAGGTCGCTGCGCCAGCTCGCGTCAGGCCCGCTTCTGATCGTCGCCCGCACGGCACGCCAGCCGAGGTGCTGCTGCAGGCGGCGGAGCTGCGCGCCCGCCTGCTGGACTTCGGCGGCGCGCACCGCGACGCCCGGCGGAGCCTCGCGCTGCACGCCGCCTGCCCCGCCGCGGCGGCGCTGGCGCGGCAGTACGCCATGGCGCGCGCCGCGTCGCACCGGAGCGTCCTCCTGCCGCCCGTTTCCGCTGCCGCGGCCGGCGCGGGCGCGGGCGCCTGCTGGGAGGGCCTCGAGGGCCAGCTCGGGTCCCTGCGCGAGAGGCTGCTCGGCACGGGGTACACGGAGGCTGCCGTCCTGGAGAGGACGCGCGCGGCGTCCCTGCTGGATCTCGGCATCGTAGAACCGATCCCCCTATCCCCATCCCCATCCTGAGTCCTCGGGCGAAGAGAACTATGCAGCGGCCACATGCACCGATCCTGGCAAGGCCCATCCTTGACCCAGGATCGGTGCGTATACCTATACGACCACCCGTCGGGTGATACGGAGGTTGTGGGGGGGGGAGGGGGGGGACCAACATCTGACTCCATCGGTCTCACTATCGATCTCACTCAACGGGACACCACGGGCCACCACGGGACACCACGGGACACCATGGGACACTTGTCGATCTCACTATCGATCTCATTATCGATCTCACTCAACGGGACACCACGGGACACCACGGGCCACCTCGGGACACCATGGGACACCGCGGGACACTTATCGATCTCACTATCGGTCTCACTATCGATCTCATTATCGATCTCACCCAACGGGACACCATAGGACACCACGGGACACCACGGGACACCACGGGCCACCACGGGACACCATGGGACACCACGGGACACCTCTCGATCTCACTATCGGTCTCACTATCGATCTCACTATCGATTTCATTCAACGGGACACCATCGGACATCACGGGACACCACGGGACACCACGGGACACCTGTCGATCTCACTATCCACCTCACTATCCACCTCACTTTTCGGGACACCACGGGACACCTCGGGGCACCACATCGATCTCAGTATCGATCTCATTATCGATCTCACTCAACGGGATACCACGGGACACCACGGGACACCACGGGACACCTGTCGATCTCATTATCGATCTCACTATCGATCTCACTCAACGGGACACCACAGGACATCATGGGACACCTCGGGGCACCACATCGATCTCAGTATCGATCTCAGTATCGATCTCACTATCCACCTCACTATCGATCTCACTCAACGGGACACCACGGGACACCACGGGACACCACGGGACACCGCGGGACACCGCGAGCCACCGCCGGACGGACGGACGGACGGACGGACGGACGGGGGAGAATCATTTGTCTTGACTGCGCCCTAGCAGCGGCGGCGGACACCACGGGACACCACGGGACACCACGGGACACCGCGGGACACCGCGGGACACCGCGGGACACCGCGAGCCACCGCCAGACGGACGGACGGACGGACGGGGGAGAATCATTTGTCTTGACTTCGCCCTAGCAACTGCGGACTCCACGGGACACCACGGGACACCACGGGACACCGCGGGACACCCCGAGTCACCGCCGGACGGACGGACGGGGGATGATCATTTGTCTTATTGATTTCGCCCTAGCACTGGCGGGTTCCTTCCTCTCGCGCCCCCACGCAACTTCGCCTCGCCCGCACGCACGACACGAACGAAACGAGACGATTTCCCGATTGTGGGTCTCCGTTCCACTGCGATCTCACCCCCCAACCTTCGACCTTCCTGGCCAAGGCAGGAGGGCGTATGCACCGATCCTGGGCTCAGGATGGGCCTTGCCAGAATCGGTATATGTGCATAGCTCTCTTTCCTCTAGATTCCCGCCATCCCACCGCCCCAGTTGGGGCTGTGCACCTCGAGACTCGAAGGGAACAATCTGTATTCCACTCTGGGATAAACCGGCCAGTGCGGCCCAGGCCACGCCAGTGGGGATAAGAATCGGTTAAACGATACTCAGGACCTATTTGCAAGCGGCCTGTCGGACGATTCCCCTGTGGAGGTCGCTGAGACTCCAGATGGCTTGTCGGAGTTGATCACGCTGTTTCTGCTGCGCGGCACCCTGCCACTGCAGCGTGCCTTGACAGCCCTGGGTCCTGAGATCTGCAGCTTCCTTGTGCAGTGCAGGGCCTTGGCATGCTACAGCGAGGCATCTCGTGACTTAATCGTGCCAGCGGAAGCGGCCAGCCTGATCACGGGACAAGGCGCATTGGCAGACTCTGCGGAGGAAGTGCAGCTTTTTGCGAACATTGCTCTGTGGCCTGTTCTGAAAGACGTGTTCCTTGCAACTGATTGTGACGAACAGGCCTTCGAGGAGGGGCAGTTCGAACCGGTCATGTACATGTCCGTGGATTCGTCCGCGCTGTTGGCGGCTGCTCCGCATCAACCCGTCGACTGCGTACTGGACGTATGCTGTGGCAGCGGCGTGCAAGGCTTGGCCGCTCTGACGACCCATGCGCGCACCGCAGTCTTCATGGACGTGAACCCACGCGCGCTCGCCTTTGCCAGGTTCAGCGCGGCTCTGAACGGCCTCGGCGACCGTGCCAGCTTCGTCCAGGGCAGCGTCTGCGACGACGCGCTGCCCGCGGCCCTCCGTGGCCGCACCTTCGGCGCGATCCTGGCGAACCCGCCCTTCTCGGCGGCGCGCCCAGGGGGGGAGTCAGAGGGGGCAGGACTTCTCGGAAATCTGCGAAGCCCTCGCGCCTTCTGAGAAGCCGTCTGTGGCCTCGGACAGGGGGCTGCAGGGCTTCTCAGAAGGCGCGAGTGCTTCCGAGCAGCCCCGCTGCCTTCTCCGAAGCCACAGGCGGCTTCTCAGAAGGCGCGAGTGCCTTCGAGAAGCCCCGCTGCCCTTGAGAAGGTGCGCCCTCTCGCAAGACCTCCGACGTCTTGATGCTTTCCATAGGGACCGGTTTTTCGTCCGGGATCCATCTTGGACGGCCCCCAGGCCTGGCGAGGGCCCCCCGACGCCGAAAACTTGGAAAAGCCGCCGTCTTGCTTCGAGGGCCCCCCGACGGCGAAAACGCGGAAAAACCGCGGTCTTGCTTCGAGGGCCCCCCGATACCGAAAAGGCGGGAACACCGCCGTCTTGCTTCGAGGGCCCCCCGCGACGGCGAAAACTGGCGTCGGAGGTCTCGGTCTCCCCTTCCCCCCCCCGGGGCTCGCCGCCGGCCTTCGTCCCGAACCCGGGTGGCGTCGCGACGGCCCTGGGGCCCCTCTACTCCAACGGCGGCGAGGATCCCAGGCAACGATACGGGGGGATCTACGGGGGGATGCAGTCGGACCGAGGTCAAAGATCGGGGTCGGTTCGGGGAGGGTGCTTCCGTGTTCTTCGTGCCTGCTGGATGTTCTCCGTGCATCCTGGGGAGGGCAGCCCTTGGGTGTTCGATTTGCTCTGGCCGGCGGAGGGCCTCATGTTCCTGAGGGGTTCTCTTCCGGCCAAGGTCCGACTGTAAGGGGGGGGGATAGGTACAGGGGGAAAAGGGGGGAGGAGGAGGAGGAGGAGGAGGAGGAGGAGGAGGAGGAGGAGGAGGAGGAGGAGAGGAGGAGGAGGAGGAGGAGGAGGAGGAGGAGGAGGAGGAGGAGGAGGGGAGCACATCGACCTGCTGTCGCCCACTGATGGGTGTGTGCGTGCAGGTTCGAGGAGGCTGTCCGGCGTTTCCGTTGCTTCCCGCCGGCTTTTCAAGTCTCGGGGTGCTCTCTATATCAGCTGGCGCCTCGCCGAGGGGCGTCTGGGGGTGTCGGGATCCTCCCGAACGGTTGCTGGAGACCCGCCGAGCCATGACCTGAAAAAAAACAGGCGAGCTGGATCGGAGGAGGGGGGGGGGGCCAGGACTCGTGGGGGGGGGGGGGGGGCCGCGTCGACCCCAATCGCCTACTGCTCGCCGATGGGGGTCTGATAGTCGCACCCCGCCCAGCAGCATACGGCTAAGTCGGGCGTGTCCCTCTAGAGGAGGGGTGTTCAAACACAGTCAGCGAATAGCCTGGGGGCGATTTTTAGACCATTCTTGAACAGTTGTGGAATATGTATCGGTATTCTTTTAGTTTTCGTCCAGAATCTGCCTGCAGGGGGACGCCCGACCTAAGCGTACGGATTCGCTATCGAGGACGTGTCGCCGATCAATCGGCGATGCGTCGCCGATTCTGGGTTGACGTTCCCCCCGGGGCTGGCCCCGTGCATCTTCGGCACGGCAGGAGCACCCAGGCCCCTGGCGGAGCCAGCCATCCGCCAGGGGTGTGCGCGGGGCAGTTTTTTCGTCGACTTCGCTGCCTCGACACGCCCGCTTTGGAGCGCAACTCGTTTCGTCAGCGGCGAGGCGGCGAAATCCGCACCAGCGTGACGGCTAGGTAGGGGCACTGAGTAGCGAATTGGCCGGCGTGCAGGGAGGGAGGGAGGAGGCCGAGAGGAAGGATGGACGCTCAGACGCCGAAGAATTCAACGATGAGCAGCCGGCGGGCAGCAGCAGCCCGGCGGTTTTCAAGCGCAACGCGTACCGTGTTCACAACGTCCGCGACGACACGTTGCGTGTTGGCCCAACGCACTGGCCCACGCTTTGGCGATCGCATCGCGTCAGACCTACGCTTTCAGTCTGCGTGTTGAGTTCTGTATCAATCTAGGCTACGTGTTGCGTGCTGCGTATCGGGGCAGCTGAGTTCGCCGATGGTCAAAAATCAGGAGGGAAAAAAACACACAGACACAATTAATCCTCGATTCCCAGGAAAATATGGGAAAATATGGGAATTGGGGGGGAAGACAAAAACCCAGAAAATATGGGAAAATATGGGGACTATTTTTATTTGTGTGTATTTATTTGTGTGTCCTAATTTCCCTTTAAAAAAACTCGCTGCCCCTCCGAGGACGGCCAGGCCGTCCTGCGGGCCATCGTCGCCCGCGCCGGCCTCGGCCTCCTGGCGCCGGGTGGGCGCCTGGTCGCCGTGGCGCAGGTGCCGGACGTCGAGGGCCTGCCGGCCCGGCTCGCGGAGTGGCTGGTGCGCCCCGGGGCAGCCGAAATCTCTTACGATCTTTGGACGATCGCGGGCCCGGCATCGCTCGGACGTGCGCATGCTTTTCTCGGCGAGGGCCATCGAAGAGCATCCTGGACCACCGGCGGCGAGAAAAGCACGCGCGAAACCGACAAGTGCACTGGGAATGGACGTCCGAGCGACGGCCAGCGGGGATTGCTCAGGTTCGAGGGTTTTTTCTGACGTTTTCATGGGTCTCCGCTGGCTTTCCAGTCTTGGGGTCCTCTCCAGCAGCTGCGCCTCGCCGAGGTGCGTCTGGGGGTGTCCGGATCGTCCCGAACGGCCGCTGAATACCCGGTTTCTGACCCGACATCCAAGCGAGGAGCTGGGTCAGGGGGGGGGGGGCAGGCTCCAGGGGATTGCATCGACATCCAATGGCCCAATCATCGCTGAGAGGGGCATAGCCGATAGCCCACCCCTCCCAGGGGCATAGCGGACTCGCTATCGGGGGACGTGCCGCCGATCTATTGGCGATGCATCGCCGATTCCAGGTCGAAGTTCCTCTCCCCCCGCGAGCCGGTGTCCCCCCGCGAGCCGGTCTTCCCCCAAGCATGTTGCCAAATCGTTTCCAGATGTATAAAACCTGTTTCAAACATGTAAATTGCACGTGTTAGCCATGTTTAGAACCTGCTCTAGCACTTTAGATACATGTTTTCGTTCAATGATCGGGTTGCTGCGGTGTCCATTGTCATGTCGCGGGCGATGTTTCTCCCCCAATCCCCGAGTTTCGCCCGAAAAGTTTCGCCGCTCAGAAAAATGGGAAAACCTTGGGATACACCCCAAAGGGGCCATTCGGACGCACCCCTACCGAGCATGGACACCCCCCCATCGTATATCCCAGGGTTGGGCCCCAAATTTCTGGTCCATTTGGAAACCCCACGAAGTCTGGGATAGGGGTCGACACATCCCCTGTTATCATGGCATCCACCACCCTGGGCACCCCCCTCGCGGCCATCCAAGCCGGGTGCTTCTCGGTACCTGGGCGGTTATCCTCGGCTTCGGCCGCGGGGCCCCGTCCTCGCCCCCGGGGGCCCGTAAGAAGGGATCCCCGGGAGGCACAGCAGCAGGACGGGACCTAAGCGCTGTTTTTCCCTTAGGGCTTGTCGACTTTTCGCCAATCGACTTGTGAGAATCGAGCCAGATAAACCCAAGTAAATGCAGATAAATCGAGGTAAATCCAGGTAAATCTAGATAAATCTGGGTAAATCCAGGTAAATCCAGAGATCTCCAGGGAAAGTTCGAGCACTTCGCGGCCGCTCCAGCGCGAGTCGAAGGACGGCAGAAGTCGTTAAGCCTTTAACGAGTTTTGCCTGGACTTCGGCCGTGCTCTGTTCTTCGTTCTGGCAGGGAGGTACAAGAAGACAGGTAGAGCAAAGCGAAAACAAAGCGAACACAAAGCGAAAGACAACGTTTAGGCTCAGCCCTGCACCAGCAGTGCCCCGGGGAGAGGGGCTCGGAACCTCCAGGGGGACCGGGCTCGCGGAGTGGCCGGCGCGCCCCAGGCCGCCCAGGTCCCCCCTCGCGCTGTGAGCACACACATCCTCCTCCTCTTCCTCCTCCGCCTCCTCCTTCTCCTCCTCCTCCGCCTCCTCCTCCTCCGCCTCTTCCTCCTCCGCCTCCTCCTCCTCCGCCTCCTCCTCCTCCTACTCCTTCCTCCTTCGCCTTCTCCTACGCCTCCTCCTTCCTCCTTGTTTGTCGTGGATCTGGCGCTCGCACAGATCAGAAGATTCGGTAGCAAGTCATGGGAGCCTGCTATGTCTTCTCAATTCCGTTTTTAGCGTCGATCAGTGCCTGAGCGTCGGTGAGATAGCGCCGAGTTAGCGTCGATCAGCAGCGATTCGCGTCGATTCAGCGTCGATTAGCGTCGATTTAGCGTCGACTGGCGTCGATTCGCAAGAGCCGACAAGATGGTATGGGAGTCTCCCATGGGTTGCCACTGGAGGAAGAGCTAGTCAGGCGGGAATATCGAACAGCTGATTTGCACTGGGGCAGCGGCGAGGGAGGGAGGCTGCCGCGGAGGATGGGATTGCGGGGGCGGCGCTCGGGGCAGGGTGAAGTGGTCCGGCTGCTGGTGCAGCGGCCCTCGCCGCCGTGAAAGAAACACGACAGAGGGTAGCCAGTAATTTTCGGCCTCCTGGGGCCCTTGCCAGGCCTCGGGACCACAACAAACGACTCAGGATAAAAAGCTGATCCCCAGGAAGGGGTCAGACCTCTGGGGTTGCCCCCTCCCCAAACCTCCAACGTATGGACAAAAAAGAGGGCGGAGCTTTCTCGTTATTTTTGGCCTCTGGGAGCCCTCGTCGGGCCTCGGTACCTTCAAGCAACGATCCAGGACGAAACACCAGTTCCCCTTGAGACCCGACGACGCGAAACATTGCAACATTTTGAAAGTTCACGACCAGAGACCTAGACCGACCACATCTTTCCGCTGCATTGTCTAGCCGGACCTTTGAGGGCTTCGGGGCCTGAGAGTCTGCGAGAACGCCCGACTCTAAAAAATGCGACGACAGGATCTCAGGGCCTGGGGAGTGGTCCAGAGCATTGGGGACCCCGTGCTGAAAAATTCAAGGTATCGGAGGTCTGGAAGGGAAGCCTGCCTTCTCAGAAGGCAGCGGGGCTTCTCGGAAGCCCTCGCGCCTTTGAGATGCCTTGCAAGCCGTCTCCAAAGCCACAGACAGCTTCTCAGAAGGCGCGAAGGCTTCTGACAGGCCCCGCCGCCTTTGAGAAGACCTGCCCCCTCTCACTTCCCCCCTGGGCGCGCCGCCGGGCAGGTTCAGAGCTCCGGGGACCTTCGCTGCTCTGATACGCCCGTGTTGAAACTCAATACGTACGGTGTTTAAAACGTCCGTGTTGACACCTCGTGTGTTGGCCCAGCACGTGTCGGCCCACGCTTTGGCGAACGTATCGCACCAGACCTGCGTCGTGAGTCTACGCGCTGAGCTCCGTGTCAACACGCTGCGGCTTGCGTGTTGCGCGCCGGGGCAGCTAAGGCGGGGACCCCGCTAGATGGGGAGAGCCACGACGTCGGAGGTCTGGTCTCGACTCGACGTAAGAGTGACCCTTCGCCGGAGTGACCTTGGGTGCGGGCCCATTGGGGTCCCCCGATTGCCGAACGCGATGCTATAGTAGCGCCTTGTGACCTTGTGTTTGGTCCCCCCTGCGGCCCCCAAAAGGCTTCGCATAAAAGGCCACTCTTACCCATCAGGGGCAACGATCGGGGAGGATAAGCATAGGGGGATGCATCGACCCCCAATCGCCCATTGATCGCCGATAGGGGCCCGATAGCCCCAGCCTGCCCAGGAAGGTGGGTATTTGCTATCGGGGACGTATCGCCGATCTATCGGCGATGCATCTTCAATTCCAGGTCGAAGTTCCTCCCCTCCAGCCAGACTCCCCCCTACTTGGATGACCGCGGGGGTTGCCAAGGGGCGGGGATAGTTTTTTGCAGGGGATGCATCGACCTCCGATCGCCCAATCACCGCCCACTCTTGCCCAGGGTCACTCTTGCGTGTAATCGAAAACCCCAGGAAGCCTGGGATAGGGGAGGAGGAGGAGGAGGAGGAGGAGGAGGAGGAGGAGGAGGAGGAGGAGGAGGAGGAGGAGGAGGAGGGGGAGGAGGAGGAGGGTGGAGGAGGAGGGAGGAGGAGGAGGAGGAGGAGGAGGAGGAGGAGGAGGAGGAGGAGGAGGCGAATTTCTGCCAGGGGCGCCCACTCTTGCCCAGAGTCACTCTTGCGTGTAGTCGACGGGCCCGGGGCAGGAGGGCAGCGCCGGGCGGGCGCCTGGCGGAGCTGCGGCCGGCGTTGGCCTCTGGGGCGTCGTCTTCCGGAGCGCGCCCACGGCGGCCGAGGATCATCAAGCAGTGGCGAGGCGTCCTGGCCTGTCTATGGGCCCATCAAAGAATGTTCTAACAACCTTCTGTGGCTTGCAAGAAATGTTCTTCTGGCCGGGACCGTTTTGTTTTAGTCCATCGGTTTTAGGTTCGGAGAGCGTTTCCTTGTTCTTAGAAGATGATTGTTTTGTTCTAAGAGGATTTCGTGGTATGCCTAGAAGAATGCCGGGGCGGTCGGGGCGGGCAAGAGTGGGGTGAATGCCTGCAGGGCGGTGTACATCAGGGTGGGGGCCATGCCATCTCCCCCGATATCACGGCTCCCCTCTACTTGCTTCAATGCGTCTCTCCTTGTTCCCCCCCACGTCCGCGCACATGCCTTGGGCCATGTTTTGCACCCCCCCCCTCTTGGACGCCCCCCCCCCCACCCCCCTGGAGGGGGAGGGAGGAGGAGGAGGAGGAGGAGGAGGAGGAGGAGGAGGAGGAGGAGGAGAAGGAGGAGGAGGAGGAGGAGGAGGACCAGTGGAAACCCAAGAGTCATCAACGATGTTGGCATCAACCCTCCCTCCAAGCTCCCTCTTCATAGACCCCTACTACGGTTCATTTTCATATTAACCTGTCTGTTGCGTCTTGGCGATCCAGTGTCGTGCCAGAAAGCCATTTTGGGGGTATCAACACAGCGAATCAACATAACTATTGCGTCCGCATGGTCCTGAATCCTTCCAAAACATCATGTCTGGTACGTTGATCATGGGAATCCGTGGGACTTTTGCAAATATTTCAAACGAGTGTGCGCGGCGCGAAGACGAGAGCCACATTTTGAAAACGACCCGCCCTCAATCCGTGAAACTCTTGTAAATGTCTAAAGCGAGTGTGCGCGGCGCTGAGGCGAGAGCTACATTTTGAAAACGACCCGCCCTCAATCTGTGAAGCCCTTGAATTGTTAACGAATGTGCAGGGTGCCAAAGCGAGAGTCACATTTTGAAAACGACCCGCCCTCAATCCGTGAAGCTCTCGAATTTTAACGAATGTGCAGGGTGTCAAGGCGAGAGCCACATTTTGAAAACCATCCGCCCTCATGGAATTCTTGCAAACTGTTAGAGCGAATGTGCGCGGCGCTAAATCGAGAGCCACATTTTGAAAACGACCCGCCCTCAATCCGTGAAGCTCTTGCAAATTTTGAAAACGAATGTGCGCGGCACTGAGGCGAGAGCCACATTTTGCAAACGACCCGCCCTCAATCCGTGAAGCTCTTGCAAATGTTAAAAACAAATGTGCGCGGCGCTGAGGCGAGAGCCACATTTTGAAAAAGACCCGCCCTCAATCTGCGAAACTGTTGCCACCTTAATTAAGGTGGCAGCAGTTTCACACCATTTGGATGCTCCTGAATCAGAACTGCTGAGTGCGTCTCAGGCGAAATGCCCGGCCCGCCCTAAAATCTGGCATCGGGGTGCGACAGAGAGACGTTACCTATAAGGAGAAGGAATGGAGGAGTAGGAGGAGGAGGACGAGCGAGGGAGGGAGAGAAGGCGCTCGGCCACGTCGTGCTCACAGCTGGTGCGCTCGCTTCCCCAGCGTTCCCGGCCGCCGTCCTGCTGCCGGGCCAGCCGCCAGAGCAGGGCGGCCCGCCGCGGCCGCCAGACCCACACCCCCGAGGCGGGTACGCCCTGGTGACGACGTGGGCGGTGGACACCATGCGCTCCCGCCGGGGCTGCCTCTGCCGGGCGAGCCTGTGCCGGGGCCCCATAGAGAAGGGCGAGCTCCGAGCTTTCAGCCCAGCGCTGGCTAACCCTCAGTTCTTCCACCTGCGGTGCATTGAAGGAGGCTTGGGGCCGTACGAGCAGGTGCAGGGCACAGCGGCGCTGATGCCCGAACAACAGGACGAGACGCGGGACCGGTACGACCAGCCCAGAAGGCCCTCCAGAGCAGAGTACTTGGCGGACGTCCACCAGGCAAAGAGGGCCAGAGTGGACCCCGGGCAGCAGGTCCAGGGGGCAGCGCTGGGAGTTCCACTCCTTGGCCCGGACGACGGCGACCCAGGGAGGCCGCCAGGAGGAGGAAGAGGGCGACCGCCAGCAGCCTCGGAACCTGGCCTGGCGGGGACTGGCCTCGGAGCATGGCAGAGGCGGGAGACTGGGCCGGGCTCTCGAGAGAGGCGCTCACGGCGGTTGCCGGAGCGACGCGGCGAGCGCGCCGGCCGCCCGCGCCAGCCGCCGACGCGAAAACCGTGGAGAAGCTTGTGGGTTAGCACCTGATCAGCAAGGCTGCGGTTCGCGCGAGCAGCCCCGCTACGCTGGCCACGGGCGCGGGGGTCCAACAGGGACTCCGAAACTTGTTCCCCCTGGCGGGCGCGCTAGCTGACCCAGGCGCGGTCCCGAACCTGCCAGACCAAGAACCCTGGACGGCCTGGTTGCCGCCGTGAAGACGAGCCTGGCCAAAAGCCCGCGGCGATCGGGGGCGGGGCCGAACGGGGGCAGATTCGAGCACTGGCGGACCCTCCTCGCAGACAGCGCGGCGCTCGACGCAGTGGCCAAAGCCGCGGTTCTCTTCTTACACGGGTGCCTGAGCGCAGAGGCGACCCAGGCCAACCTCGGAGCGCGGCTGGTGGCTTTTCGGAAGCGGAACGGCGGCTTGCGATTGATCGCGTGCGGGGGCGTGCTGAGACGACTGGCGGCCAAGGCAGCCTGCGAAGTGTACGATGAGCAGACACGTCAGGCCTGCGGCCCGCATCAATACGCTGTGGGAAAATCAGTCGGGTGTGAAGTCATGCGCAAGTACATCTCCGCCCTCTCCGAGGCACACTCGCGCGGCGTGGTCTTAGCTTTCGACTGCTCCAACGCCTACAGCGGCCTTCCGCGGGCCCGAATCTTTTCTGGGCTCCGGGCAAGGGCGCCCGACCACCTTCGCACCGCGCACTACTGGCTGGGGACCGCCACTGCGCACCTCTACTGGGGCGACGCCAACGCAGCCCTGCCAGTGACGGCCGCAACAAGCGTGGGCCAAGGCTGCCCGCACCCACAGGCGTTCTTCGCAATTGCAGTGGCTGCCTGTTTGGATGAGATTTCCCAGGGCCTCCAGCACCTCTCCACCGCCTGCCGCGTGTTCTCCTACCTGGACGACATTATGGCGTTTGCGCCCCCGGAGCACGCAGCGGGAGCGAAACAACTCGTTGTCGACGCCCTCACCAACCACGGCCTGGCGGTCAACGAGGGCAAAACCCAGGCATGGTCAGCGGACAGAGCAGGTGACCTCCTAGACGCTGTCCGTGCACGCAGAGTCGACCACTGCTTGGGCAACACGGCGCCCTGGCTCGACCAACAGGAGAACCGGGTTTTGTCTCGCGCAGGGGAAGATGGCGCGGCGGCAGTGAAACGGGCGCAGGCCTTCACCCAGAGGCTCCGAGACCTCCGAGAGGCTGGGCTCTCCGCCGAGGCCTACCTCACCCTACTACGGACCTTTGCGCAAGGATGCGTCACCCACCGCCTGCGAGCCAATCTGCAGGGCAACTGGGTGGAACAGCTCGACGCGGTGGTGTTTTCGGCCCTGCAACACCTCCTGCGCGGAAGTCACCTGGACGAGCTCCAGAGGCTGCAGGCCACCGTGCGCCTCGCAGATGGAGGGTGCGCCATTCCCTCCGCTGCCCAGACCGCGCCGGCAGCTTACGCCTCGAGCTGGGCGCTCTGCCTCCACGACGTGCCGAAGTGCCTGGACGTGAGCGCGGTGGAGGGGTTCCGGACGCGGTGCCCGCGGACCCTCCAAGCGCTCGCCCAAGCTGAGCAAGCGCGGCAAGCCTGGGGGCGGCAGACGGACAGCTTATCGACTGGGCTCGCAGTCTTCAGGAATCCCACGCTGAGCTCCAGGGCGCGTGGAGCAAGGCAGCCTCCGGGAAAAACCGAGAACGACTGCTGCGGGAGCTCCCTGGGAACGACCGGCTGGCGCTCCGGGAGTGCGGCGGCGTTGGCGCAGGGGCGTTTCTCCCACCTCGACAACCAGGAGACCCTTTGCAGCCAGACGACCACTTAAAGGTGAACCTCATGTGCCGGCTGCGAGCGCCAGTCGGCCCCGCCGGGTCGCGCTGCCAACGCCGACGACAAGACGGCACGCTGTGCGGAGAGCCCCTCGACCCACGCGGGTTCCATGCCAAGTCATGCGAGGTGGGCCAATCCCGCGCCGCCCGGCACGACCGCCTCCGTGACCGACGTGCATCCATGCATAAGGATATCACGGGCCATGCTGCTCCGACGGAACAGCACGTTCCAGCGTGGGATCGCCGCCATCCCCGCACCAGGGTCCTCCAGGAAGCAAGGTCGGACATCCGGACACACGACCCCGGCACCGGACGACCTATCTTTGTCGACTGGGCGGTGACGTACGTACACCCCACCTACGCCCCGCGCAGGCGCGCCCGAGCCGAACGAGATGGACTCACAGCAGCCCAGATGGTCGACGACAAACGCGGCCAGTACCCCCCCCCCGGGAGGGCCTAGACTTCGTCCCGATGGTCTTCGAGACCGGGGGGCGGCCGCCCGACGAGGTCGTAAATTTCGTTCGGAGCTACGGCGCTTCTCTTGAGGATGCCGACCGGTCCGAGCTCTTAAGAAGGATCTGGCGGGACATCTCACGCACCCTACAACAAGGGGGCGCGGAGCTGATCCTGAACGCCCTGGAGAGATAGGCGCCGACCACCACCACCGCCACGTGACCAACCACCAGCACGACCACTACCAGCCCGGCCGACTTCCAGGACCACCGCCGCCAGTACGGCCACCAAAGCCGCCAGCTGACTGACTACCAGTATCACCACCACCAGCACGACCACCACAGCAGCACCACAACTACCAGCCACCACGACCACCACCATCACGGCCACCACGACCACCACCAGCACGACCACCACGACCACCTCGATCACCACCAACACGACCACCACGACGACCTCCTCCGCCCCCCGTCCCCCTCTCCCTTCTCCCTCCCTCCTTTTCGTCTGCCGGGCCGCCCCTGCCGCTGCGCCTTTTGCGCGG